AGGCGCGCCACCTCGTCGTCGGGCAGCACCAGCACCGTCTCGGGTTCGGTCTCGCTCGCCCGCCGCTTGGCCGCGCGGCTCTTGCGCGACGCCTGCGTCGAGTTGAGCGACACGACGGGCACCTTGTAGCCGGCGTAGCGCTCGAGGAACTCGTCGCGCAGCCGCGGCAGGATGTCCTGGGTGTGGAGGCGGATAAACGTCTCGCGGATCATCTCGCTCATCGTGTCGATGTCGCACGCGTGGGTCCAGTAGCTGTCGTGCACCGAGGCGAAGGTCAGCCCGGCCGCGTGGCACTCGAGCGCCGTCAGGATCATGTGCGTGGCGTCGAGCGAGTGGATAAAGTTGGGCGGGAACGCGCTCGCCTGCTTGCCCGGCGACACCTCCGAGTTGGACAGCGGGTCGTGGATAAAGACGGTCTGCATCGCCGTCGTCACCTGGCGCTTCTTGACCTTGCGGTACGGCTGCACGACGGGCAGGCCGAGCGCCGTCGTCCAGATGACCGACGTCATCTGCTCCTTGACGATGCGGTCGGCGCGCGCCGGGTCGCGGCTGTAGCCCTTGGCGGCGGCGCGCGCCGACGTCGACTGGAGCGGCTGGTAGGGGCGCACCGCCTCCTCGACGCGCTGGGCGGGGATCGACTTGGCAATCATCTTGGCCGACGCCGACAACCAGTCCTGGATCTTCTGGGCGCCCTGGAAGAGGTCGCCGATGCAGCTCATGATGACCTTGGCCATGTAGCTGGCGGCGGCAAACAGGTCCTCGGCGGGCACGTCGCCGCGGTCGGCCAGCTGGCGCATCACCTGGTTCTTGGCGCCGACGAACGTGACGCCGTAGACGGTCGTCATGACCGTCTGCTTGACGACCTTGCGCGTCACCTTGCCCTGGAGCAGCTGCGCCAGCCGCTCGCCCTTGGCGGCGTCGTCGTCGAGCACCTTGATGACGAGCTCGGCGACGCCCGTGTAGACGTCGGCGGGGCGGTCGCCGCCCGAGAGGTTGACCTGCTTGGCGCCCTGCAGGTCGCCGCCGAGGGCGGCGTAGTGCTGAAGGCCGTTGCACGTGCCGTCCTGGTGGACGGGCAGGCCCGACTCGAACGCGTGCGGGCCCTCGGGGTGGTCGAGGGCCGCCTGGAGCTCCATGCACGTGGCGAGGCACTGCCACGGGTCGTCGGCCTGGAGCCACCAGCCGCGGCCGTTGAGCGGGTTGGTGGCGCTGTCGCGCAGGTCGGCCTCGTGGTCGACGGCAAACTGCTCACGCTCGGCAAAGCTGGCCTTGTCGTAGCCGTAGACGTTGGCCAGGTGGATGCGCAGCCAGCGCAGGCCCGCCTCGCCCAGCGGCTTGGCGTCGGCAAACTTGAGCAGGCCGCGGCAGAGGTCGTTGCCGATGTGGTTGAGGTGGGGCGGCATCGGGTAGGCGCGGCCGCGGAAGTCCATGTTGTGCGGGAAGTAGAACTTTTCGCCGAGGAAGGCGCGGGCGATCTCGAGCTTGTAGTTGACGTCGCAGCGCTGCGAGTGGTTGGACGCGCGCTGGGCGTTCCACTGCTTGAGGCGCTGCAGGTAGACGCTGCGCGCCTTGATGTCCTGGTCGTAGTTGTACGGCTTGTCCGGCTCGGGCGTCTCCATGGCGACGGGCGGCATGTCGGCGATGTCCTTGCCCGAGTTCCACACCTCGGTCATGACGTCAAAGATGGGGCGGTTGATCTTCCACGACGTCTGACCGAGTACGTCGAGCGCGGCCAGCACCGTGTCGAGGCTGCCGTTTTCCGACGCGGCGCGAAGGTAGGAGCCCTGCTCGGCGCTGTCCTTGAAGCGCATGGCGCTCTGGCGCACCGAGTAGTATCCGCCCGAGTCGTGCGTCGTCCAGGGCTTGGGCGGCACCAGCATGGGCAGGTGGCGCGGGTGGAGCGTCTCCTGGAACGAGTCCTTGTCCAGCCGCTTGGCGATGGCGTCGTTGAGCTTGATGACGCCGAGCTTCTTGCCGCCGAGGTACTGGTAGGCCGAGTAGAAGGCCGGCTGATCCTCCTCCCACACGACGCCGTCGCGGTCCGTCGCCTTGCGGTGGACGGTGGCCACCTGGAGCAGGTGCTGCACCAAGTAGCTGCCGACGCGCGCCCGCATGATCTGCGTCCACTTGGGGATCTGCGACATGACGCCGTCCTCCTCCATCTGCTCCTGCCACGCCTTGATCTCGCGCCGCGCCGCCAGGTCAATCAGGCCGCGCTTCTTGAGCACCGTCTGGGCGGCGTGGGCGTTTTGGAAGATCTGCGGGTTCTTGCGCACCACGTCGGCGTGGTACTCGAGCTCGACGGCGCGGCCGACGGCGAGCAGGGCGCGCGTCGTCTTCATGCCGTCGGCGACGCCGCCGTTGCCCGACATGCGCATCAGCTCGAGGATGGTGATGAGCGCCAGCTTCGACGTCGGCAGCAGCCGCAGGAAGGGCAGGATCTGCAGCTCCATCGACGGCAACGAGCGCCGGACGGGGCCCTCGTCGGCCTCGTGGATCCGGTCAATGTCGGCCTTGAGCGCCGCCTGCAGCTTGTTGTACCACTCCCACATCCAGGTCTGCAGCTTCTTGGACTGCAGCGCGCCCGTCGTCTGGAGGCCCAGCTCCTCCATCTTTTCGACCGAGTGCTCGAGCCGCTTGCGCGCCGCGTCGAGCGCGCTGTGCTCGAGCCACTTTTGCCGCTCGTACGGGTCGCTGATCGTCATGCGGGCCTCCTGCACGATCGACAGGTTCTCGCGCAGCGACGACAGGTTGAACGGCATCTCGCCCTCGGGGGCGACGGGCTCCTTGCCCGACTTGCTCGCCTTGGACGTCGTCTTGACCGGCATCAGCTCCGGCACGCCCTCGAGCGGGTTGACCTTCTGCGATGCGCTCGTCGCCGCCTCGCTCGCGGCGCTCTGGCCCTCGAGCACGCTCTGCACCGACTGCAGCTCGTGGACGACGCCGGCGTCGCCGATCTCGGAGGCCGTCGTGCTGAGCACCCGCAGAACGGTCATGGCGTCCGGCTCACCCTCGCGCGGCTTGTCGTCCGGCTGCTCGGCGGCGGCGGCGTCCGTCTGCCCGACGGCTGCGGCGTCCGTCGAGTGGAAAATCGTCGAGGTGAGGATCGGGTGGAACGAGATGCCGGATCGCTTGGCGGCGCTGATCAGCGTCTCGACCGAGGGCGCCGACGACGGGTACCGCCCGCTCCTCTGGAGGCCGACGATGCCGCGCGCCATGGTGGCGATGGTCGCCGCGTTGGGCTTGAGGTCGGCCGAGGGAGGACCTCCGACCGACAGCGGCTCGCCGCCCAGCTCCATGTCGCGCCACAGGTCCCAGGCGCGCGACAACCACTCGCTCGTACCCTCGAGCGATTCGGCCGTGTAGGCCTTGCGCAGGTAGGCCTGCAGCATCGCGTTGTACGTCCAGATCTCGAGCGGCGACTCGTAGTGCGACACCGAGGCAGAGTCGATGGCGGTCCGCCCGCGGCTGCCGGCGTCGTCGGCCCCCTCGCCACGCGTGTGGTACTCCCACGCCTCGCGCGTGCGCGTCTGGGCCTGGTTGCGGAGGTCGGAGAAGAGCTTGTGGGCGCGGCTGATGAGGCCGGTGCCGAGGCATGCCTTGAGGATGCCGACAAACTCGACCGATTTGGAGGCCGGGTAGAAGCTCTCGTCGGTGTTGCTCATCGTCAGGCCCGACAGGTCGCCAAACGAGAGGCCCGAGAGCGGGTCCTCGGACTTGGGGACGAGCCTGCTGCGCAGCTTGCGCATCTCGGCCTGGCGCTCGGCGACGTCTGGCGGCAGCGGGGTGGGCAGCCTCGTCAGGGGGCTGCCGCTGCCGTAGGCATATGGCATAAAGTGGGTGCGCCTGTCCTTCCAGGCGTGCGGATGCGGCGGTTGCCCGTCGTGAGGTGCGGATGAGGAAGCGGCAGAGGAGGAGGTGGACGATGACTCGGGGCCGGCCGGGTAGGCCTGCCTGGAGGGCGCCTTTGAGCTAAAGGAGGACCGCTGATGTTGTTGTTGCTGCTGCTGTAATCTGAGCGAGGGTGTTGTGCGCGCTGATCGGAGGTGCAGGAGCGGGGAGCCGAGATGGGATGGGCCCGCCGCTGTGGCCGCGGCCGACGTCGAGGGGAGCGACGAGGCCGACGATGCGCACGCAGCGGCCTGAGCCTGGGCTCTCCGGAGCAGAGCAGCCTGTCTTGAGATCATGGCGAGGCAGAGGAGTGCCGACGGGTGACCCGATGGCCTTTTTTGTGGAAGGATGCCAAAGAGCGGTGGCAGTTGGTCCCGGTGTGGCAAAGGGAGAGGACGCAGCACTGAGCGACCGGCAAGAAAGGGGCTCGGTGGCGAGCCGAACGTCTATGTGGCGGAGAGAATAGGTTGCGGTGCTACTGCCAGCAGAGAAGCCGATGTGGCGAACGAGGAGCCGGACCGGAGCGGGTCAAGGTGGCGGCGGCGCTCGAAAATTGAGCGGCGTCGTGGCAAGCTGGCTTGACGCTGCGTCGCTCCCGTAAGTCGTGGGGCGGTGGGAGCTGTTGGCGATAGCGAGCGTGTGGGAGGAAAGCAAGCAGGAGCGCCGTAAACGAGCGGCGTGAGGGGATGGGGTGTGCGTTGGGATGGAGAGAAGAGGAGAAGAAGGTCGAGGCCAGGCAGGGCTGGGTGGCTGGAGAGAAGAGGAGGCCTCCGCTTCCTCAGACGACCTGGACCCGGGCGGCCGTCCAAAAATTTCGCGAGTCGGGCAGGGCAGGCCAGGGCAGGGCAGGGCAGGGCGTCGTCCGTTGGCTGAGCAAGCGCCCGCTGCTGGAAGAAAAAATTCCACATGGTGGGCGGACGCTGGGCCGCCTCTCTCGCGCGACAAGATCGACGAGAGGGCGCGGTCAGGCCGTTCAGTCTAAATTCGGGCGGCGTGCGTCATGTCGCTGCTGGGCGTGGCCTTGGCCTGCCTGGGGCTCACTTTGGCTGGCCGTGGCCTTGGACAAGCAAGCGCCGGGGTACAGGCAGGCAGGCAGCTAGGAAGCTGGCCCGCGCGCCACCGGCTTGGCCTGGCCTGGCCTGGCCTGCTCTGGCCGCGCTCCCTGTGCTGCGTTGCTGGTCTATCCTCTGTGTCGCCGTACTGTACTGTACATAGCGTAGCGCGTGGTGTGAGGCAGCGGCGTTGCTGCGCTCTGTGCTGGGCTGGCTCGACTCTCTGCTTGCTGGGCCTGCCTGCCTGCTCGAGCTTGCTGCTGCCTGCTGCTCCTTCCTGGCTGGTGGCCTTCGACAGCCGACGTCGGCAGACCTCGTCGCCTCCGTGCCCTCTGATGCGCATTCCAGTGACCCGGCATGGCATCGCATGGCTCGCTCTCCTTGCTCGCTCGCTCGCTCGCTCCACCCGCAGCCCGCCCAGATTGCCTGCAAGCGTCGCAACCACCGGCCTGGCTGCGTCGGCCGCCAAGGAAGCGTAGCAGCGCCGCCGCCGTACGAGCTATAAGAGAGGCAGACAGACGCCTTGCCTCCTTCTCCCCGCAGTCACCATCCCACACCTCCATCCAAGTCGGCCCTCCCAACGCACTCGACGCTCTCCCAATCCCAGCCCAACAACCTCTTCCTCGCATCAGCTCAGCAGCAACAGCACCCACCATGGACCAGCTCAACAGCTTCCTCAACAAGCAGGGCGGCGGCCAGCAGCAGCAGGGCGGCGGCGACCCCAACCAGCAGCAGCAGCAGGGCGGCGGCGGCGGCGGCTTTGGCGGTATGCTCAACAACGCCCTCGGTGGCGGACAGCAGGGCGAGGCAAAGGAGGACGGCCTGGACAAGGCCATCGACGGCTTCCAGCAGTACGTCCTCAAGGAGGGCGAACAGAACAACGAGGTCAGTAGCAGTGCGGCCGCTTCAAGACGTACCGACATCGACGCCGGCAGACGTCGTCGCCCCGTGCCCTCGAGCTGACCCGAGACACCGTGTCATGGCCCCTCGTCGATCCGTTGTCCTACCGCACACCTCTCTTGCGCACCCCTGCAGTCGGCCATGGAGCAGCAGAAGGACAACATGATCGCCGACGGCATCCGCAACCAGTACAAGAGCTTCACCGGTACGTCTGTCGACGCAGCGGCGGACCGGTCGCAGGCTGCGGCAGACAGATTACGTGTGCCGAGGGGCCGGCTGCTGACCCGTCGTCGTTTGCTCCACCTGCTTGTCGTCCCGCGCGGCCTGCCATCTTGGCTCCGCATGTCCTCGGCCCCTTGGTCGACCGCCCCGCAGGCAACGACTTCCCCATCAAGGACAAGTAGCCGTAGAGCATGCATGGCCGTCTCGAGTCTCGCAATCCAATTCTGATCTCCGTCTGCTGTGTGCCTCTGACCCCGCCCATCTCTGTCGCTCTGGCTTGACCGGCAGCCGATCCGGACAGGCCGGCGCCGGCTGCTGCTGCTGCTGGTGCTGCTGCTGCTAGGCTGCTGCTGCGGCCACTGCTGCCTGTCGCTCGGGTGCCGTCGATGGCAGACGCCCCCGTCGAGAGCGGGTCCGCGTGCGGTCGCTCTCGGGACGAGGGAGATACAAGTGGTGCAGTCGATGCTGGCGTCGATGCTGGCGTCGATGGCCGTGTCGGTATTGGTGCTGAAGGTGAAGGCGATGGTGATGGTGATGGCGATGGCGATGCCTCGAAAGCGGGCCCATGTCGAATCCGACTTTTGGCGCGCGCGCGTGGTCGACGGCGGCAGCGGCGCCAAAGGCCGGTCGGTGGGTCAGTCAAAGAGTCGCCCCCCCACGCTCCACGCTCCTCGCTCCTCGCTCCCTCTGCCTACTGTGTGCCGCCCCTGCCTGATTGCCGCCTGACCTTCGCTTCCACCACCACTGCCGCCATCACCCGCTCCCTGACCCTGGTCGACCATCGGCCCCCTGTCTCCACGGCGGCCCTGACAATCGAACCGAGCAAGCCTAGGCACCGCTCACATCCTGGCCTGGCCCCAGAGCCACCTGGCCCAACCTCCCCCGCGCCGTCGCGTCCAAACCCAGGCGAACCCACCGAGCCACCGACGGAGCGTCGGACGGTCAGGCACCCTTCGGCTCTCGTGTCGCGGGCAAGCACTTTCACCCTACGACCCTACAGACCACATCGCACAAAGCTCTCCCGCACCCCGAGGATCGTAGCGCCACCCTGCCCATCCGCTCGCCTCGGTCGCTTCTTTCGACGTCCTCTAGAAGACGGCCCGCCGCTTGCATTTTGGTCTCGCTCGCCCGCATCACGACACCACACCGCGGCACCTAACCCTGACCGTCTGGCCTTGCCCCTCCGGCCTACGCCACAACCTTGTTCGCTCGCCACATCCGCCAGGCGCGCGTCCTTCGTCGTCGTCAGATCCCACGGCAGCAGCCCCCCTCGCCGTCCCCTCTCAGTCACTCCCCACCCTCGGCCGTCGCGCCGGCACCGTCCTTTCTGCATTCGTCGTCCCCTGTCTTACCTGCCGGCCCTGCTCTCCGGTATCTCGGCCCGCTTCGCTAGAACGAGCTCGAGCTCGAGCTGATCCGGTCCGGCGCCTGCGGAAGCGCAACTCGGTCAGCGCCACCCGGCACGTCGACCGCGGACCACGCCAACATCTCTGGCTCGCGTGGGCTCGACGATGCAGCATGGCCTTTGCAGTCCGCCCGCACCCCTGCATCACCAACACCCGCACCTTGCCGCGCCGTCCGACCAGAAACAGCGCCACGGATCTCATCAATCTCTTGGCCCCGATCACAATCGCACCACAACCTCGGTAGCGGCCATTGCTGCCGCCACCGACGCCGACGCCGTCGTCTCCCCAGCACACGGTGCATCAATCTCCGTCACCGACATGAGTCAGAACGATCCTGACATGTCGGATGCACGGCCAGCTCCTCCGCCGCCGGATGCGGCCAAGCTCCGCGATACGGCCGATGCGTCGCAGCCCGACCCAGCCCAGACAGATGTCAAACCAGAGGTGACCTCTGGCCCCGCGGCGACCCAACAAGGGATAGAATCCGGCATCAAGGCCGGGGTAGGAGCCGACACGGGGAATATCAGCCCTGCTTGGGCTGCGAGGGACGCTGTGGTGAAGCGAGAGGCGTGGGAGGAGATCAAGCCGGAGACGCCCTCGACGGCGGCTGCAGAGGCCGACGACATGGAGCTCGACCACGACGAGGACAAAACAGCAGCGCACGTCAAGGGCGAGCCGCCCAAGGACGAGGTCTTGGCCCCGCCGTCCTTTACGCCCTCGCCATCACCGCCGCCGAGGTCTGGCTCGCCGGTGCGCCGCCACGATGCGGGCCCGAACGGCTTGAAGGTCGAGGACCCTTCGTCCCCGCTTGCTCATGTCAAGCAGGGCTCGTCTTCGCCAAAGCCGGGGCTCGGGGCGCTCGATGATCTGGACGACAGCAAGGACGACGGCCCGATGAAGCGCTCCTCGTCGCACGCATCCGCATCGTCGTCGGCCGATCGCAAGGTCAGGAAGAGCGCCTCTGCGATGCCGCCGCAGCTCATCACCCACCTGCCCCGGGCCGAAAGGGAGGCCATGACGACCTTTGTCGAGCTGCCGTCCAACGACTACCACGACAAGAAGCTCGGCAGAACCCGCGGCCGCTTCCAGGAAGCCATGGTGTGCGACTGCTCGTTTACGCCAGGTGAGTGGCCGAGCCTCGCGTTGGTCCTGGCATGCATGAGAGGTTCCGCGGCGCTGTCGGGACGTAGCACAGGCTGACCTCGCTCGCCTCCCTGCTGCTCCACCACTGCGCCCCTCCAGGCGTCGACGATGAGTCGCTGGCCTGCTCGGCCTACTCGGACTGCATCAACCGCGCCACCCAGATCGAGTGCACGGCGTCGGACTGCAACTGCGGCGAGTACTGCCAGAATCAGAGGTGAGTCCGGCCGTCGCGGCCGCCCTTCGCGTGCTCCCGCCGACCTTTTCGACGACGAGACTGACGACCGCTCCTCGCCCTTCTTTCGACCCGCAGGTTCCAGCGCAGGCAGTATGCAGACGTCGAGATCGTCCTGACGGAGAACAAAGGCTTCGGCCTGCGCGCCGCTAGCGACCTGCCGACGTGAGTGGGCGGCCGGGGAAAGGATGCGCTCCGCAGGTTCGAGAGCTGGCCCAAGGCGAAGCGACGCGGCTCGACTGCTGACGGCGACCGCTCTTGCACCCCTCTTTGCCCCGCCGCGCTGCGCCGCGCCGCGCCGCCGATGGCAGCGAGACGTTCATCTACGAGTACGTGGGCGAGGTCATGAACGAGCCGACGTTCCTGCAGCGGATGCAGCAGTACCGGGTCGAGGGGATCCGCCACTTTTACTTTATGATGCTGCAGAAGGGCGAGTACCTCGACGCGACCAAAAAGGGCGGCAAGGGGCGCTTCATCAACCACAGCTGCAACCCCAACTGCTTTGTGGCGAAGTGGCAGGTGGGCAAGCACATGCGGATGGGCATCTTTGCCAAGCGCGACATTGCGCGCGGCGAGGAGCTGACGTTCGACTACAACGTCGACCGCTACGGCAACGACGCCCAGACGTGCTACTGCGGCGAGGCCAACTGCGTCGGCACGCTCGGCGGCAAGACGCAGACCGACATTGGCGGCATCGCTGACCTGTTTATCCAGGCGCTCGGCATCGAGGACCAGGTCGAGCAGATGGAGGCGCGCGGCACCAAGAAGCGCAAGAGCAAGGAGCTCGACAAGGACTTTGTGCCCATCCTGCGGCCGGTCAAGGAGGACGAGGTGTTCAAGGTCATGACGGGCATCCGCCAGGCCAACGCCAACCAGCAGATCCTCCAGAAGCTGCTGACGCGCGTCGAGATGACCGAGGACCCGAGCGTCCAGAAGCGCCTGGTCAAGCTGCACGGCTTCGACGCCATGTACGGCGTCCTGGTCGACTGGCACGACGACCGCAACATCATCATGCTCGCGCTCAGCAGCCTGGCGCGCTGGCCGCTCATCGCCAAGAACAAGGTCGTCGACTCGGGCATCGAGGGTCAGGTGATTGTACTGCGCGACTTCTACCGCGAGCGGTCGGTCAAGAAGGAGGCCGCCGAAGCCGACCCCGACGTCGACGCCGGCGCTGTCGCTGCCGCCGGCAACGAAGGCAGCACCGAGGCCAAGGAAGACCTTGCCGTGTCCCGGCGGGCCGAGCAGCTGCTCGACGCGTGGAACAAGCTCGACATGGGCTACCGCATCGCGCGCCGCGAGGCCGACGACGCCGCCGCTGCCGACGCCGCGCGCGCCGACGCCGGCTTCGTCTCGTACATTGACCGCCGCCGGATGCATGACCTCGAGGAGCCGCCAGTGACGCTCGAAGAGGCCCAAGCACCCAATGCCGTTTCCGAGGAGCTGGGCAAGCCGATGCCCGATTGGAGCCGCAGCGAGGTGGGCATGCCCATGCGGCAGCTGCCCGCGGCCGTCGGCCGAAGACCCAATCACCTCGGCGCGCTAGGGTCCGGTCGCAGCGGCGGGCCGGGCTTTTTCTCACCGGCGCGCGGGATACACGGTGGCAGCGGCGGCGCGGCTACGGCACGCT